TCCATTTTACCCCTTAGTTCAGCAAAGTACCAACCTCCCAATTTTTTATCCTGTGTTCTCCAGCTTTTTCTTTTAGGATTACCACTTGCTTTTCTCCCCAAAGCACCCATTTCTAAACCCTCTATATATCCCTTTTCCTCTCACCATCCAAATCACTAAACCTTGTTGCCTTTTATTATCTAAAAGTCTTATTCTGTCCTTCTCCAACCCACCATTCTAAGGATTGTCTGTTGCTTTTATCTTTCCTTATCTGCCATTCATCTCTGATTGCCCAGCACACTCTCTAGTGTACAATAGGCATTCAGTCCATGTTTAGGTGAACTCTCCCACCCACCTCTCACTTGTGAAACATCTGTTCATGACGACCTCCTCTAAGACTTCCACCTCATTACATAGTAAACAAATTTACCTTAATTCTCAAGGCCTCCCCCATCTTGGCCCCTATTATGTCCTTCCTCTGTCCTTGACCATTTTATTTGGCTTTGCATTTATCTTAATTTTTTTCCCTTATACTGAGGCCTCCTTCAACAGTATCACTCAAGATAGCATGTGACTCGGAGATAAGTGAGGTCATAAAATCCCTTTACTCCTCATTTCCATTCCACTAATAAAAGTGGGGAGGGGTTGATAGCTAAAGATAAAAACTAAGCCTGTCCAGGAACAATAATCTTTCTTTGGTCCACCATAGTCATGTTGTTAGACACTACAGGGGCAGAACTGATCCCAGGTGACAGCAAACTTCCAATGTATACTAGACAAAGTTACAAGTGAGGATTCAGCTACTTAGTAGGTGGAGGCAGAAAAGGGTTTAGTGTTTTAGATTTAGGCGTGATTTAATTAAAGATTAAACATTCCAGTTGTCATCTCCCACTGAAGGAGCATGACTGCCACTGGAGAGAACTAGACTGCAAAAATAGGGAACAAAGGAAGATAAACATTCCTGCAGTGAACCCCAAGTTTTAGCCAGAGAAAGTTCTCAAGCCTGGAAGAACCACTAAAAATTTTCAAGTGCTCAGATGTCCTATGTAGTAAACAAATCTTCTAGACTGTTCTTCTAGACCAAGGGTTGGCAAACTGCATTTCACAGGTCAAATCAGGTTCACCACCTGTTTTAGTATGTACCATGAGAAAAAATGATTTTTGCATTTTTAAACAGTTAATCAAATGACTATTTCATGATGTGAAAATGATATGAAATTCAAATTTCAGTGTCTGTAAATAGTTTTATTGGCACTAGCCAAGCTCATTCATTTACATTATCATCTATAGATGCATTTTTACTACAACAGCAGAGTTGAACAGTTGAAACAAGGACTGACTGCATGGCCTGTGTAAAGCCTAAAATATTTGCTAACTGGCCCTTTACAGAAAAAGTTTGCCAACCCCTGCTCTAGACAAACGCTATCCAATATAACTTTTTGCAGCAATGGAATGTTCTATATCTGCGCTATCCAATGCAGAAGTTGCTAGCCACATGTAGCTATTTGAGCACTTGAAATATGGTCAACAATGATTGAATAACTGAATCCATAATTTCATTTAATTGAAATTTACATAACCACAAGTGGCTAGTGGCTACCATAACAGACAGTACAGCTCTAGACTCTTAAATCTGTACTGACATTTTCCTTTCTCCTTATGCCTCGTTCTTACTCCCTACCTGTGTCATACCTCTATGGGTTCTCAGGAACTCCCTCCCACCCCCCTGCTCCACAGTCCCATTCACCATAAACACAACAATTTTTCTGACCTCAAGCTAGGGTATAGTTACTAGGTTGTCTCTCTGGACTCTCCATTGTCACAAATGAAGTCTGAAAATGGATCAGTTTATCAGCTGTCACCCTACGAATTAAGCCACATTATGTACATACACATAAATGGACATTTATACAAGTTTGTGTCAGAGGATGGCACTGAGGCTGCATTCTTTCCTCTCTGCATGAGAGAAGTGGAAAAGCCTTCCGCATGCTGGATCCCTTGTTGCTGCTGGAGCCTGTGGTATGGATCACCTTCCTCTAAACACATTTACAGAAGCTCAGAGCAGCAGGTGTATACTTGCTATTTGAATCTCTAGGACAAAAAATTCCTTCATCATTGGACTTTCTTTCCTTCCCCAGGCCTAACAAGCTGAAATTCACTGATTTCTTTAGTTTAACAGATGCTTGCTTTTTACTGGCCTTTTTTTTTTTTTTTTTTTTGAGACGGAGTTTCGCTCTCGTTACCCAGGCTGGAGTGCAATGGCGCGATCTCGGCTCACCGCAACCTCCGCCTCCTGGGTTCAGGCAATTCTCCTGCCTCAGCCTCCTGAGTAGCTGGGATTACAGGCACGCACCACCATGCCCAGCTAATTTTTTGTAGTTTTAGTAGAGGCGGGGTTTCACCATGTTGACCAGGATGGTGTCGATCTCTTGACCTCGTGATCCACCCGCCTCGGCCTACTGGTCTTTTTAAGCTGGCTTTTTGAGAATAACCCCCATACGGTCTTGATCTTCGCTAGGAGCATTTTTTAAATTTACTAAATTAAATGAAATCCACATAAATGGACTTTAGTAGAGACAGTAAGGTAGAAAGAGATTATAATTCAAAAAAGCCATAACTATGTAAATATTTGTAAAAATAATTTTGAAGTCTAAATTTTTCACACTTCCTAGGAAAAAAATGAATTTATGTAAACTTCTGACTTAAAGAACACCTAGTTTTCTTTTTCCAGATTAGCTATAGCAAGAAACAAACAAAAATCCTTACTCTAGTGCAGACATCTAACTGCAACGCTAAGGCTTCCTTTTTTTTTTTTTTTTTTTAAAGACGGGGTTTCACCATGTTGGTCAGGCTGGTCTTGAACTCCCAACCTTAGGTGATCCGCCCACCTTGGCCTCCAAAGTGCTTGGATTACAGGCGTAAACCACCACGCCCGGCCCAAAGCTAAGGCTTCCTAAACCCTGTCAGAGAAAGTCTCCAGTTTCATATATCCCCTACTATGACCTTATATAAATGAGACTCAGTCCTGCCTGGAAAAATGAAAACAAAAAAACCAAAAGGCTGAATCCTTTAGGTACTATATGAGTTGACAGCAATTGAACCCAACTATCCAAATGGGGGTACAGATATTTAGACTGCAACAAAAAACCAGCTCAGAAATGTAAAACTTCCCTTAGGCCATGCTGTCCCAGAATTACAGGGTCAGAGTAAAGTGTTGTACGTACTAAAAGGCTATTCCTGGGCAAGTTTGCACTCAGGCTGCTAAGAATTTCCACTAGGCTTTAAATTATGCTATTCGTCACTGAGCAACTGAAGGCCATCTACCCCCAAGTTTCTCCCACACTTCCTCCCTGGTGTCTCCACAAATAAAAGAGAGACCTTATACCACCACTGTATGAACTAAAGACAGACTTTCACAGTCTAACCATGAAAAGAAGTTTCCATGTTATTCTGCCATTTACTAATGAGGCTCCGGTTGCATATTTTGGATGCTGAGGTGGGTTCTTGTAAACTTGTAAAGTTCTTGTAAACTGTCTTATCTGAGCACACAAAATGGTTACATAACCTGATCTGTTGCAGCTCCTGATGTTTTTCTTTCGGCATACACACAGTCCATCCAGGTGAAAAAATCAATCCAGACACCTCTATGCTCAGGCTGTTGTTCAAATAAACTTCTACCCCCTCTCTACGCTCTTCACCTCCTGCCTTCTAGTTTTATTTTGTTATTAAGAGAGGCAGGCAACTCCACAGAATTCAAGGTGCTACTCCTTGGTAAACTATTAGCTGCATAGTGAACTCAGTATGGCTTCATTAATAGTAGGATCTGCAGGAGGTCAGAAAGAGACTAACCCCCGCCCTCCCCACCACCACCAACCAAAGAGGTGGACATTAGCAGTCTTTTCCCCTTTCACCAGAGGTTGAACAGAAAAAGAGAATACTACATGTTTGCATCACCGGAACAAGAACTGGGTGGGTTTTCCCTGGGAATCCAGAGTGATCAGGCCCTGCAAAACTAATGCCTAGAGCTATGCAACAAGCAGGGTTCACAGTTGAGTGAACATCAATGCATAATGAGTGGAGGCATTTCAATGCAAATAAACGCTGAATATGAAGGATTAAAGAAAGGGGAAATTAATCTTTTTCATAACACAGGGCACATTTTTTTCTCTCCCTTGCTCTCTCTTTTTTAAGTCATACACACAACTGCTGGAGGGAGTCCAACTTCCCCAGTGTGGTAGTGTTGCTTTATAAAAAGCAGAACATACACATTTAAGACCATGAATTTCCTCAGGATGCCAGCAACTGAGATTCTGACAGCTCTTCAGAACAGCCTCAGAAACAAAGTGTTTCACTAAGTATGGCCAGACTGACAAGCAAAAATCTCATTTCAAACCAACCTCTTCTTTTTCCAAAGCACAGAGCTTTCTAGGATGTGAATGGTTTAAAAGGTTTGATTTCAGCATTTGGAGGGTATTTGGATGTGTTTACTGAGGCAATTTTATTTTTCAGTTTGTTTCTAATTGCCCCATCCAAGTGACACTTTTGCAATACGAACAAAATAAATAGGGCAGCTTCATGCTGCTTTAGCAGGTGGCTCAATCTCCTCCCAGTCTGAACCATTCATATCCTGGCTTCTCAAACCCAACAACAAAGTGGAAGCATTTCTTCAGGTTATTCCTTCCAAAAAAAAATTTTTTTTTTGCCCATGAGGGTTACTCAGCTTTTCACATTTCACTCAGACAGTTCCCTTCAAGAGACACTGGATTGGAGCGGAAAACTTGTTCAAACCTTTTTGTCCCATCACAGGTTTGTATTAAGCACAGGATTTCTCAAACATCTTATTATTCTACTGGATTATCCCTTTGATAAGAAACTTTAAAATCTTAGAGGATCCCTCAAAAAAAATCATTAGCCTAGGTTAAAAGCTTTCTAACTGCAAATACAAGTCTCAGAAAGGAAAGAAATTTCCACCTTGTTCCTATCTCTTTTGATACTATTCTGAGAAAAATGTCAAAAGACTCAGCATTTTTAAAATAGGCTTTTATAAATAATGTATTCAAAGATTTTTGACCCATTACATAAAGTAGGAATCCCACTCCTTAAGAAAAATATACAGTTTTGGCAAGAGTTAAAGTTTGAGATATTCAAGCCTGATGCCAATCCTTTAGGTTTCTACTACTTCAATTCCAAAGGACCAGTTGATAGCAATTTTAGTACACAAAACTCCACTATGCTGTATAGTTCCTTTTCTCCTGGGTCAGACAGCTTTATTCTGCTTCATTAACCCCTTCTTTGCTCCTTGATGGATCTTGGAATCCAGTTTCCCTGTAAGGGAGAAAAAGAAGTCTCATTATTTATTTTTGTATTTGCAATGCAAATCTTTTGTAGCCTCCCAGGTCTTCTGGTTACTGTGTTCCTGTCACATTCAATTATCTTACTTCAGGACTCAGACACCTCCAAACTTCAGTTTCATTCTATAAGAATAAGGAAGCAGTGGGAACACTGTACAGGGATACCCACATACATACAATGAGTGTACTAAGAATCAAATAAGTTAATTATTTCTAATTTTGTAGCTACTGAAAAGAAATATCACATTTTTAAGGGTGTTTGATGCTAAAGCAAATTTTTAAGAATATACACATGCAATCAAGGCAGGCATTTCACACAGTGGGAAACCCATTCCTCCGACCTGTTAACTAGCTGAGCATAATGCATGAACCTCCTTCACAGTGAGAAAAGCTGTTCAACACCCCTTTGCTGCCTCAGACTTAACAGGGGGAGTGACCTGCAACAGTGGAATAGAATCCACATGAATGCTTTACTGACAAAGGGCCCCTATCACCAGCTAAGAAGGGTAAAGGTCATAGGCTATATGACTCTTTAAGTGTTAAACTTAGAAAACAAGCAACCTTCCTATCCCAGGTGACCCTAATGAAACATATATTACTGATGTGGTCTCTGACTTCTTACTTCCCAGATCTACCAGGATAGAGTTTGGCTCAGTAGTAGCAGCCTTAGGAACCATCCATCTCATTAGGAGAATTTTTTTTTTTTTTTTTTTTGAGACGGAGTTTCACTCTTATTACCCAGGCTGGAGTGCAATGGCACGATCTCGGCTCACCGCAACCTCCGCCTCCCGGGTTCAGGCAATTCTCCTGCCTCAATCTCCTGAGTCGCTGGGATTACAGGCACGCGCCACCATGCCCAGCTAATGTTTTGTATTTTTAGTAGAGACGGGGTTTCACCATGTTGACCAGGATGGTCTTGATCTCTTGACCTCATGATCCACCCACCTCTGCCTCCCAAAGTGCTGGGATTACAGGCTTGAGCCACCGCGCCCGGCTAGGAGAATCTTAACAGAATTCCTGTCTGTCTGGACTGAGAACAGCTTGGCAGTTTGTTTTCTCCCATAAAAAGTCACATCTAAGTCAATAGTGATGCTTAGAGTGAACATAGCAATACAATTCAGTTCAGTCTCAGCACTAAAAAAATAAAGAAAAAAAAAAAAAGCGAGTCTTCCCTTTCAAAGGCAGCTGAGGATACCACACAGGCCCATGCCCACAACCACTACCTCTCATATGTTGTCATTCTCATTTGTTGCCGCAATCAGGCATAACAGAAAGAGCACCAGACTAAAAGAAGGCCCAGGTTCTAGTCCACCCTTCTCTGGTATTAACTAGCTGTATGACCTGGACAAGTCATTCAATCTCTCTGGACTTCAGTATTTTCACTTGTCCAATTAAGTTAAGAATACATGTACTTACTGACTATTGGACAATAAGATTGTGAGAAAAATAGCCTCAACCTAACAAGTTCTCCTATTTTCTTCTGTCTCCTCCTGCCCAACATGATGTCTCTCTGTCTCTCTCTTTCAGGCTACACCTGCTTCTAGAAGAACATTATGTCCTTTTCTGGGCTTCCTCAGAAACTATCACTAAGTGATACCCTGAATATCATTTCACAAGAATCACAATGCTGTTGATTTTCATTTGGGCTTTAAAGCATAGGGCATTCCCAGGGATTCAGGAGTTTTTTTTTTTTTTTTTTTCCTTTTTTTTTTTTTTTTTTGAGACAGAGTTTCACTCTTGTTACCCAGGCTGGAGTGCAATGGCACGATCTCGGCTCACTGCAACCTCTGCCTCCTGGGTTCAGGCAATTCTCCTGCCTCAGCCTCCCAAGCAGCTGGGACTACAGGCACGCGCCACCATGCCCAGCTAATTTTTTGTATTTTTAGTAGAGACGGGGTTTCACCATGTTGACCAGGATGGTCTTGATCTCTTGACCTCATGATCCACCCGCCTCGGCCTCCCAAAGTGCTGGGATTACAGGCTTGAGCCACCGCGCCTGGCCTTCAGGAGTTCTTTTATCCCCTATGCTGCCTGGCTGAAAACCTGAACATGCACCAACTATCTAGCAAAGAGCCCTATTACAAGGCAAGTCAGCCTTTGTATCCCTAACACTACCATAGTGACTGCCAAATGGTAGACGCTCAATAAATGCTCTCTCCAAGTGAATTAAACAAAGATAGACACTACAAATTTCAAAACCTTTATATTATAGATAGTACTAAATAATGACAAATAGCAGATATCAAATATATATAAGAGTACAGATTGTAAAGGTGGTGGTACCCAGAGGAAAAAATACAAATTGAGTCTCTTTCAGCTTTTTAGGACAAGCTAGGACAGAATTTAGAATTCCATCTAGGACTCCAGACTTCCAGTTGTCTGTACTGAATATGTCGAAAGACTCAGTTTTATTGATTGACTGATTGAAACAGGGTCTTACTCTGTTCCCCAGGCTGGAGTGCAATGGCATGATCTCGGCTCACTGCAACCCCTACCACCCGGATTCAAGGAATTCTGCTGCCTCAGCCTCCTCAGTAGCTGGGACTACAGGTGTGTGCCATCACGCTTGGCTAATTTTTTGTTTTTTGGTAGAGACAGGGTTTCACAATGTTGGCCAGGCTGGTCTTGAACTCCTGTCCTCAAGCAATCCCCCCCACCCTGCCTGCACTGCCCCAGCCTCCCAAAGTGCTGGGATTACAGGCATGAGCCACCACACTGGCCAAAAAACTCAATTTTAATCCTGAGACTTCCTAGCTGTATAACCTTGAGTATGTTACCTAGTCACTCTTATCCTCAATTTTATCAACTCTGAAAGAAAACTGGACTATACAATACTGAAGCTTCCTTTCAACTCTATGATATTGTGCCCTAGAAATGAAATGTAAATTGGAATAATTTATTCCTGAGGCAATCTGATATAGTGAAAAAAAAGAGGAAACCTTGAGCCAAAAAGACTTGAGTAAAACAACTTCTATAAACCTGTAAAATGAAAGGAAGAAAAAGCCCTTACTACCTCACAGAGTTATTGAGAAGATTATAGCTAACACGAAGTACTTTCTATAGACCAGGCACTGAACTACATATATTACATGTACACTAAGTACTTTAATCAAATAGCTACAGGTTCAATATCCCTTAACCAAAATGCTTGGGACTAGCAGTGTTTTGAATTTCAGATTATTTTGGATTTTAGAATATTTGTGTTTTGGCCAGGCGCGGTGGCTCAAGCTTGTAATCCCAGCACTTTGGGAGGCCGAGGTGGGTGGATCACGAGGTCAAGAGATCGAGACCATCCTGGTCAACATGGTGAAACCCCGTCTCTACTAAAAATACAAAAAATTTGCTGGACATGGTGGCACGTGCCTGTAATCCCAGCTACTCAGGAGGCTGAGGCAGGAGAATTGCCTGAACCCGGGAGGCAGAGGTTGCGGTGAGCCGAGATAGCGCCATTGCACTCCAGCCTGGGTAACAAGAGCGAAACTCCATCTCAAAAAAAAAAAAAAGAATATTTGTGTTTTATATACTTAATGGTTAAGTATCCCAAATCCAGAAATCCAAAATCCCAAATGCTCCAATGAGCATATCCTTTGAGTATTATGTTGAAGCTCAAAAAGGTTTAGATTTTGCATTTCAGATTTTCAGATTTGGGGTATGGCATGGTGGCTCATGCCTGTAATCCCAGTACTTTGGGAGGTCAAGGCAGGCAGATCGCTTGAGTCCAGGAGTTCCAGACTAGATTGGCCAACATGGTAAAACCCTGTTTCTACAAAACAAAAAAAAAACAAAATACCCGAAATAAAAATTTGCTGGGTATGGTCGTGCAACCTTGAAGTCCCAGCTACTCAGGAGGCTGAGACAGGAGGATGGCTTGAGCCCAGGAGGTGGAGGTTGCGGTGAGCCGAGATCGCGCCATTGCACTCCAACATGGGCAACAGAGTGAGATCCTGTCTAAAAACAGTTTTTTTTTGGCTGGGCGTGGTGGCTCACACCTGTAATCCCTGCACTTTGGGAGGCCAAGGCAGGCAGATCACCTGAGGTCAGAAGTTCAAGACCAGCCTGGTCAAAATGGTGAAACCCCATCTCTGCTAAAAAGACAAAAATTAGCCGGGTGTGGTGGAGGGCACCTGTAATCCCAGCTACTCCAGAGGCTGAGGCAAGAGAATAGCTTGAACCAGGAGACGGAGGTTTCAGTGAGCTGAGATTGCACCATTGCACTCCAGGTTGGGTAACAAGGGTGAAACTAAAAAAAAAAAAAAAAAAAAAAAATTTTAATAAAAACAAAAAATAAGATATTAGCCAAGTATGGTGGTGTATGCCTATAGTCCCAGCTACTTGGGAGGATGAGGTGGGAGAATAGCTTAAGCCAGGGAGGCAGACATTGCAGGGAGCCGAGATCTCGCCAGTGCACTCCAGCCTGGGCAACAGAGTAAGACTCCATCTCAAAAAATAAAGGAGGTGGGGGATTCATCAATTCAAAGTCTCCTGAAGAAGTAAGGGTGGTTATATTATTTATGTTGAGGCTTGGGAGTTGGGTTTCTTAGTTATGGTTTCAATTTCACCTTTCATTTACCATATAACCCCAGGCAAGTCTTTTAATTATTATTTATTTCAGATTCCTCATAAGAAAAAAAGTTGTATCACTTTCTTCACATTCTTAAAGCTTTACTGAATAAGAACATTCCTGGGAGGCTGAGGTGGGTGGATCACAAGGTCAAGAGATCGAGACCATCCTGGTCAACATGGTGAAATCCCATCTCTACGAAAAATACAGAAAATTAGCTGGGCATGGTGGTGCATGCCTGTAATCCCAGCTACTCAGGAGGCTGAGGCAGGAGAATTGCCTGAACCTGGGAGGCGGAGGTTGCGGTGAGCCGAGATCCTGCCATTGCACTCCAGCCTGGGTAACAAGAGCAAAACTCTAACTCAAAAAAAAAAAAAAAGAGAACATTCCTATTTTAAGTTTCAGGAAACTCC